GACCAAACTGCGGGCGGCAGTGGAAGACAGGAGTGCCTGGCGTGCTCTGGTCCATGGGGTCACGAAGAGGCGGACACGACTAAACGACTAAACAACACCAATACATCTCTCAAACAATGAAGCTGAAAAACTACAGTGCCAAATAAGATTGCCTTATTCCATATATGCCCTCTCAGCGGTTTCATTCTGAGGAACTGGCCCTGTTCCAGGGGCCACATAATACGTTCTGCATTTGTAAGAACTCGGTTTTCTAACGTGGCAACATCTACACTTTGGAACTCCCTGCCGACGGATACCTGTCAAGTGCCTTCAAAATACCCTTTTTAACACCTGCTAATTTTTCTTCAGACAAGCTATCCAGATATCTAGAAAGCTGATGAGAGTTTTCATCTGTTTTCTGTTTATTTTAACCCTTTTGAAAATGTTAAATGATGGTTGCTAATTGTGATGTTTTATCTTCTTTTTCATAAACCGCTTTGAGGTTTTGTGTTGTCTTTCACACGGGCTTTATAAAATTATCATGATAAAATTAACCAATAACTAAAAATCATGATTGATCAGTGGCTTTACTCACAGTCAGGCCAAATGTGGCAAACAATATTGTAACGCGTCAAGCATCGCGCTCAGATTCCGCCTTCCGCCTGCCCCCTTCAAATTTCCCTGTTACATGAAGACAAATCATGCGGCCCTGTCAAAAGGCCTGTTATCTCTCGCTGCGGCCCACCTCAGCTCAGAAAATGAGGACACCCGGAAGCAGGCCTCTCGCAAAGACCTTAGAAAGGTGGCAGGATTGTGTGTGTCAAAATAAATGACCATCATTGCATCATGGAGCGCACAGTATGTTACGGAATTACATAATAAGCAAAGGCAGTTCCCTGCCCCAAAGAGCCCTCAATTTATTTATATATCTCTTTAAATTGGCTTTTATTAAAGATTTTCTTATGTTACAAAACAAACAAATAAACAAGGAGGAATACATACAGAGCCTGCCGTTTAGATGATCACACAGGTTTGTGTGTGTGTTGCTATAAACTGTGCAGGATGCACATTATTCTGCAAAATAATATAACCTGAGTAAATACAGGTCCCTGCCCTGAGGAGGCTACAATTGAACGTTAGATGGCCACAGGAGGAGGTGGGGTAGCAAGACAGGAATGTGAGGAGGAAAAGAAGAAGAAGAAGACGATGAAGAAGGGGGTTTCTTCCAGGACTGGGCAGGTGTGGGCAGGCACACGTACAAATATGCTGAAACTAAATTCATTTTCCAGCCTTTGCAAGAGGAATGGGGGGAAGAGAAAGGGGGGAAGGGGGGGGAACTGTTTTGATCGCGGTCTGGTTGGAAAGCCCAGGTCACTGGGGGAATGGAAGAGAATCCTTTGTGCCATCAAGTCCCAGGTGCATCATGTACTGGGCCGAATTTGAGCTTACAATTTGGGATTAAAGTAAATCCTCGTATTTTTCTGCATGCGTGCTCTGCTCCCCGTCTCCCGGAGACTGCTGGGTAACTGCCTATTATCCCGCGGTTCCACTCCAGCGCCCTCCCCAATAAAACTTTTCATATCCTTATAAACGAACTCGATTGCCGTGTTATAAACATTTACACTGTGCTAACAGATCATCTCCGCACATCGGAATTGGCTAAATTCCCTTTTCCAGATGAATATATTGAAGGAGATTAGAGATATGATAGCTTTTCAGATTGCTGAACCCAGAGAAATTAGTTTAGTGAGCATTTACAGAGGCTAAATTGGAACCATTAAATAGTGGATTAAATTGATGGTAGTTTCATTGTCTGTCCTTCGGTACTGCTGTAAAATCAATTAGCCGTCACTATTCCATTCTCCATATAGTGAGATTGTCAGCCTGCTAGGAGCTGCGGAACCTTGCCGGAGCGGCGGGTGGTGTGAAAATACACCTATTAGGTGATGTGGCATGAAATAATATCACAGGGCAGAAGCCCGGTGAGATTTATCCCAGCCTTATCTTGACTTTAACAGAGAGGGAACAGACAATAGTCTCGAGGTGACACTCATCTCCTAAGAACATCGACGGGGCAGGATGCGCTCTCAACTGACAATTATTATGACATCCCCGACTCCATCAACCTCAATTTTTATTTTTATTTCGCATTAAAAAAAATCTGCTTGGGCCATCCACCACCCTCCTCCCTCAAATTTGCAGTGTCTGACACGAAAAGCGCTCTCTCTGTCTGTGTGTGTAGGTATATATATTTGTGTGTGTTTGTGTGTGTTTAGTTATTAGTCTTGGGTGTGTGTGTGGTAGTCTGCGTGATGCTCAGTCCCTAAAAACCTGCATGGGCCATTTATTCTCCCACTCCTCAAATTTGCTGTGTCCTACATAAAAAGCTGTCTGTCTGTCTGTCTCTCTGTGTAGGTATATATATATTTCTCTATGTTTGTATGTACAGTTATTAGTATTGGGGATGTGTTAGTCTGCATGATGCCCAGAGTTCTTAAAAATCTGCATGGGCCAGACATTCTTCCCCTCCTCAAATTTGCAGTTTCCTACATAAAAAGCTGTGTGCATGTATCTCAGTGCAGTGGTACCTCGGTTTAAGAACATCCCTGTTTGCGAACTATTCGGTTTACGAACTCCGCAAAACTGGAAGTAGTGTTCCGGTTTGTGAACTTTACCTCGGTCTAAGAACGGAATCCGAACAATGGAAGGGCACCAGCAGCGGAAGGCCTCATTAGGGAAAGCACGCCTCGGTTTAAGAACGGTTTTGGTTTAAGAACAGACTTCCGGAACAGATAAAGTTTGTAAATCGAGGTACCACTGTGTGTGTGTGTGTGTGTGTGTGTGTGTGTAGTTATTAGTGATTTTTTTGGGTGGGGGATTAGTCTGCATGACACTGCGAGTCCCTAAAAGCCTGCATAGGCCATCCATTCTCCCCTTCCTCAAATTTGCAGGGTCCTATATAAAAAGCAGAATATTACTGCTACAAGTTACTTAGTATTATATAAAGCAGCCAGCTAGGCTGCAGTGAGTCTGACTCCAGGAGCAGTTCTAACTGCTGTAATAAAGAGCTGTGAATCTAAAAAAATAAAATAAAATAAATAAAATAAAAAGCAGAATATCTATCCTGCTATATGTGAGTTTGTGTGTGTGTGTATAGCTAGTAGGTTTTTTTGGGGAGGTGGTTAGTCTGCATGACCCCGCGAGTCCCTAAAAGCCTGCATGGGCCATCCATTCTCCCCCTCCTCAAATTTGCAGTGCCCTACATAAAAAGCAGAATATCTATCCTGGTATATGTGAGTTTGTGTGTTTGTGTGTGCCCATTTGCATTCTGCCCCGAGTCCCTTCCAGATCCTTGGGTCTTTGTATCTGTAGGGATAAAAGATATGAGGGCAGACTTGCCCTTTGTGTAGGGCATGGGTAGGCAACCTAAGGCCCAGGGGCCGGATCCGGCCCAATCGCCTTCTAAATCCGGCTTGTGGACGGTCTGGGACTCAGCGTGTTTTTACGTAAGTAGAATGTGTCCTTTTATTTAAAATGCATCTCTGGGTTATTTGTGGGGCATAGGAATTTGTTCATTATTCCCCCTTCAAAATATAGTCCGGCCCCCCACAAGGTCTGAAGGACAGTGGACCGGCCCCCTGCTGAAAATGTTTGCTGACCCCTGGTGTAGGGCAATGTCTGTGGTTGGCATAGCATGCCCACAAGTGTCCTGGTTTTCCAGGGACAGTCACAGAATTACAAAAGCCATCCCAGTTTCAGATTTCATCCTGGAAAGTCTCGCTTTTCCTTTTTCCTCCCTTCCTCATCTCGCAGAACAGTTAAAAGTGGTGTGTGCAGGTGCAAAAAAACCAGATCCCTGTTTATATTGAAAATAAATTTATTGCGGGAGGTGCCGCCCCTCCCAGGAGCCGTAGAATTGCAGCCCGAGGCACCTGAAATGGTTTCTATGTTTTCAGTTGGCACCCGTTAATTTATTCCTTAATTCGGAATATTTATAGCCTACCTGTGAGATCGCTTTACCCAAAATAGGCCCACTCAACAGCTTCCATCTGCAGAACATGCGCTGTTACAGATGCCACACAATACAGCGGTACCTCGGGTTAAGTACTGAATTTGTTCTGGAGGTCCGTACTTAACCTGAAACTGTTCTTAACCTGAAGCACCACTTTAGCTAATGGGGCCTCCCGCTGCTGCCACTCCGCCGGAGCGCAATTTCTGTTCTCATCCTGAAGCAAAGTTCTTAACCTGAAGCACTATTTCTGGGTTACCAGAGTCTGTAACCTGAAGCGTCTGTTACCTGAAGCGTCTGTAACCCGAGGTACCACTGTACTGATTCCACATTTGTAAGGAATCATTTTTGTTTAGGAATGTCTGTCCAGACACGTCGAATGTGTTGTTTTAATCTGGTTTTGTTTAAGGCTTATTCTTGGCTTTATTTATTTCCTGAACGTTTTAAAGAGCTGTTTTTCACTTTTCCCCCATTGATAATTTTAACATTTTATTCTTTTCGCAAACCACTTGGAGGCTTTATTCTTACAATCAAGAGGCATATAAATTGCATGAAATAATAATAATACGTAATGACGAATAATAGTATGTAATGCAAAAAAGCCACAGGGCAGTTTACCACGACATCAAATAGTAGGAGAAAAGAATGCATAAATTAATGTGGTCCCTAAAAATGACAACCACTCGTAAGGTTTGATGTTTTATTTTGCTTTTATATTTGTTGGAAGCAGTCCAGAGTGGCTGGGGAAACCCAGTTCAGTTCAGATGGGCAGGCTAATAATAATAATAATAATAATAATAATAATAGCAGCAAATCACAAAATAGTAGTTACGAATAACAGCAGCAATTAATCCATTGGTCTAGCTGGATCCTTGGAAGGCTCAGTATATTTGGTGATGCAGAAATTTGCCCTATACTGAGTCAGACCATTGCTCTAGCTGGCTCAGTACTGCCCCCACTGACAGACAGCAGTTCCCCAGGTTATCAGACAGGATACGGCCCCAGCCCTACCCAGAGCTGCCAGGGCTTGAACCTGGGGCTTTCTGAATGCACAGCAGACGCCCTATCCCTGAGCTACAGCTCATCCCTTAAAAACAAAGCAAGTTTGTAGTCCTCATTATGGGCTGATTTCAATAGGAACATCGGAAGACGGGTGCCTCTTGCCTTCACAGTTCAAGGACTTTCTATCACCTGCCCTGAATCTTCAGGACAGCCCCACTGGATGCCCACAAGTTCACGAGAGAGGGAGAGAAAACCTTTTCTCTATCTGTTCTCTATTTCCCCCATGCCAGGCATCGCTTTATAAACTTGCCCGTGGTGAGGGCATCACAGCGCACACACTCCCGACGCGGCCAGAGCCCACAGCTTTGGAGACTTTGTAATTGTCCTCGAATTGGGATTCTCGGAAGGAGAAGCGACTTTGGCGCTTTATGAATTATGACAACGTTGCGCCCGCTCCCCTTCTGCCCGCTTCCTCATTAACGGAGGGCGTTGCTCTTTCAATCAATAGAGAACGCCAGCAATCAGCTTCTGCCATCCATCTCACGCCTTCTTGGGTTCCCTCCATCTATCATCATTACCAGCGTCGCGTTGATGAGCAGAAAGCCATCCCTGCCATGGAAGGACACCCGGCTGGCACTCACGTAATTATTGAATCTCGCATAGCAGTCCCCTCTCAAACCTTTTGTGACACGGCGCCGCAGCTTCCTCACCACTGCCGGGCCTGGCAGGTCCACACTGCGCACCCCATAGCGATTGGACCACCTGTGAGGGCAAGCATGCACGTGCAAATGTACCTTGGGCGTTAGGGTTGCCATATGTTTGGGAATCGGGATTTAACCGGCGAAAATGGCCTCGCTGTTCTGAACATTGCGTTTCGTTTCCTAAAACTTCAACAACTTTTGCGTCCTGAAATATGACATGGATGGCTTCTTGAAGGAAGCTTGACCCTTGAAAGTCATTCTCTTTATTGTGTGCAGGCCTCAGTTGGGTACGGAACATAGAATCATAGAATTGTTGCATCGGAAGAGACCCAGAGTGTCAGGGGGTGGACTGAGGAGGAATGTGATGGCCTGGGACTCGGGCTCAGACTCGGAACCAGAGGAGTCTCTGTCTGCACCAGATCCTTTGCCTCAGGCGGCATCTGAACCAAGTCTGGGGCCTGATTCTGTAGAGCCCCAGTCTGCACAGGTTCCCCTGAAACAAGCACCAGCTGGGCCGAGTCAGGGGCCTGAGCCTGCCCTGGCTCCAGATGCGGGGATTACCTCGTTGCCTTCAGCTGGGCCGTCACTTACAGCTGCTCCACTACCAGTTGGGTCAGGGGAGGCTGAGGCGGCCTCTGGGTTTAGTAACCCACCGACATCTCTGAGCTGCAGAGACTCAGGTCTGAGAGAAGGAGAGACCTGAGTACTCGCAGGAGGAGTGCTTGCCTTCGGGTGAGACAGGGAGGTGAGTCACCGGGGGATCAGGACCGTCCGTTACCACAACAAAGATAAAAGGCTATCGGAGCCCGCCCCAGGTTGCAGGAGCAACATTGCTGTTTGCTTGAACCTGCCTGAGACCCTGTGCCTGTCCTTGCCTTGTTTCCTGCCTCGTGTCCTGCCTTGGCCCTGTTAGACTGACTCTTTGCGGAACCCTTGGATTTGGGACCGGACCTGGACCGCGTTGCTCAGGTTAACCCCTGGGCTCAGCACAAGGAATGGTGGGGAACACCACCCCTTCTCCTGAACCTTCCCGAGAACAGGAGAACAGTGTAGATTTAGAATAGTGGTTTGCAGAAGGGCATAATCCAGAGACTGCAGAGGGGAGAAGCTGGGAAATATTGAGAAAGGAACAGCAGGAAGCAGCAGCACCAGGGAAGAGACAGCTGATAGACTCCGTGTCCTTGGAAAGCATTCCTGACCCCCCCTCTCCCAGGACCAGGCGAGCATTGAGAGTGTCAGGAATGAGCCAGCTCCCGGCAAAGATTTGCAGCCAACGGCAGAAAACAGCCAGGAACAGAGAGGCTTAGATGTTAGTCATGCAGGGGGAGAGCCGGCAGCTGCAGACTTCGGCTCTGCCTGACCTTGACAGGCTGGCTGATAAGGCAGTAGTGGAGAGCAGCCTAGAACTCAATCAAAGCTCTCCGGAAACTCAAATAGGCTGGAATAGACACAAAGAGAGTCTCTCGGAAAAGGAAGAGGAGGGAGATGATCCAATAAGTCTGCGGAGTCGGCCAATGGGAGGGCTGCTAGACAGGAAGCAAAACAAGAGATTTAAGGTGCAAAAGTTAATATATTCTGTCGACACAGGAAGCAGTCTTCAGAAGGGTCATTAGAGTTGTCCAAAGCTATCTGTTTGTTTTTGCAATAAATCCTCCTTTTTAATTAGCTATGGTTACTGTGTTATCAGGCTGGGAACGCAGACTCCTGGCAGAGCATAGGAGAACAGAAAGCTCAGAGGCAGAAGGCTCAGATCGGCCGACACAGGGGTGATGTAGAATAGGAGAGACGGAGGGAGGGAGACTTTACTTGGAGCAACACCATTATCTAGGGAAGACTGCATTCCTTTGTCTCTCTCTGTACATTTTGAATAAAATACTTGATAAGAACTCTCCTTGTTGATCTGTGTCTGGGCTGCCACCGTGGGAGGGATCGGATTCCCAGAAGCCTGACGCCAAAGTTCATCTGGTTCAACTCACTGCAATTTAGGAATCACAGTGGAAGAATCCCTGGCAGGTGGCTACTGAAAACCAGCAACAACAACAACAAATTTATTTATACCCCGCCCTCCCCAGCCAAGACCGGGCTCAGGGTGGCTAACACCAGGTATAAAAACAATTAGTTAAAATACAACTTAAAAACAAGATTAAAATACAGCATTAAAATGCAGCCTCATTTCAGTAGAAACTCAAATCAAAAACTTTTTTTGGGATGAAAACGTCAAATCTTCACCAAGGCCAACTATCCAGACTGGTCCTATGTGGGCCAGAAAAAAGCCAGGGAAGTCCCCAAATAGGGGTTCCATCACAGAAGGAGAAAGGAAAAAGGAAAGAGGAAAGAGGGAAAGGGAATCAAGTTGATTCCAAGCCAAAGGCCAGGCGGAACAACTCTGTCTTACAGGCCCTTCGGAAAGAAATTAGACCCTGCAGGGCCCTGGTCTCATGAGACAGAGCATTCCACCAGCCGGAGCCAGTGTTGAGAAGGCCCTGGCTCTGGTTGAAGCCAATCTAACTTCCTTAGGGCCTGGGATCTGTAGGGTGTTGCTATTTATGGACCTTAAGGTCCTCCGCGTGGCATAGCAGGAGAGGTGGTCCCGTAGGTACGAGGGTCCTAGGCTGTGAAGAAGAGCCTACCACATAGGAAACCACATGATGATGATGATGATGAAGAACTGTATCCTGCTCTTCAGCCAAAAAGGATGGTTTTCTGGGTGCATACAGACAACCAGATTAACAAAGAACAATCATTTGTAATTATTTTTTTGTTACATGAACTGCCCACGTGCCTCCCAGAACCGCAAGGCAATGGACACGGCACAGCCTGCTGTATTTATCCATGCAACAACCTTGTGAGGTAGGCTGGGCTTAGGGGTAAAGGTAAAAGGTCATGGGGTCAGGAGACGAGGTCAAAGCTCAACCAGAAGGTTCAAGGGGATGGAAGGACTCTCCTATGAGAAAAGGGTGCAGCATTTAGCATTGTAGCACGTACCTACGGGACCGCCTCTCCTGGTATGCCCCGCGGAGGACCTTAAGGTCCACAAATGACAACATTTTGGAGGTCCCAGGTCACAAGGTGGTTAGATTGGTCTCAACTAGGGCCAGGGCCTTTTCAGTACTGGCCCCGACTTGGTGGAACGCTCTGTCCCAAGAGACTGGGGCCCTGCGGGACTTGACATCTTTCCGCAGGGCCTGCAAGACAGAGCTGTTCCACCAGGCCTTTGGTTTGGACTCAGTCTGACCCTTATGTTTTCCTCTCCTTATGGGCTACTTTTAAAATGAGGCTGCATTTTAAATTGCATTTTAACCTGTATTTTAAATCGTTTTTTGTTTCCCCCCCTATTATTTTTTTTACTGTAATTTTACTGGTGTTAGCCGCCCTGGCCAGGGAGGGCGGGGTATAAATAAATTTACTGTTATTATTATTATTATTATTATTATTATTATTATTATTATTATTTCAGACCTTTTAGTCTAGAGGACTGGTGAGTAAGTGGTGACATGACAGAGGTTTAGAAAATGGAGACAGCAGATGGAGAAAAGTTTTCCTTCCCCTCTCAGAACACTTGAATTCATGGACGTCCAATGAACTTGAAGGTCGGAAGACTCAGGACACCCAAAAGTTAAACTGTGGAACTCACTGTGATGTCCACCAACTTGGATGGCTTTAAAAGAAGATTAGGCAAATTCGTGGAGAAGAAGGCTACCAAGGACTATTAGCTGTGATGGCTATGCTGTGCCTCCACATTGAAGGCAATAACGTTTCTGAATCCTAGTTTCTGGAAACCACGGGAGGTGGGAGTTGTTTCTGTGCGCAAAAATTCCTGCTTTCTGGTTTCCCATAGACATCTGATTGGCTGCTAAGAGAGCAGGATGCTGAACTAATGTGCCATTGGCGTGATCCAGAAAGGCTTTCCCTATGTTCTTATGACCACCACACAAGCATTTTTTTTATACTTTGTGCAGTGGTACCTTGGTTCTCAAACACCTTGGTACTCAAACAACTTGGAACCCAAACACTGCAAACCTGGAAGTAAGTGTATGAACTTTTTCCGGAAGCCAGACGTGCTCCATTTTGAGTGTTAACGCTTCTGATTCGAGTGTTACGCTGAGGTCTGTATGTTTTCGCTATTTCTTTTGCGTTTTTGTTTCTGCGGCTTTTCTGTTTTGTTTTTGTGACTGTGTGGAACCCAGTTCAGCTACTGATTGATTGTGTGACTGCAGTACATTGTTTATTGCTTTCACTTTATGGGTCAGTGGTCTCGTTGGATAGTAAAATTCATGTGAAATTGCTGTTTCAGGGGTTGTTTTTAAAAGTCTGGAATTAATCAGTTTTGCATTACTTTCTACGGGAAAGCACGCCTTGGTTTGGGAACGCTTTGGTTTTG